GTGTCGATTATGAAGTCTAGCGATTTGTACAAGGCCTGCATAAAAGATATCAGATATCAAAGAAACAAATCAACAATTGGAAAATAGGGAGCAAACATGATTATTAATATCACTTATGTCATTAAATAAAAACATGCTTCCCAGAAATTCTTGTGACTTCACCTTCATCTGCACTTGATCGGATGTAATCACAAAATTGTCTGCGTCAAGCACACTCAGGGCTTCCTCTTTTTTAGATACACTTGTGCTTAAAACAGTTACTTTCAATCCAAAAGCCTTGCCAAACTTCACTGCCATGTGACCCAGACCACCGAGCCCAATCACTCCAAGAGATTTACCAGGTTGGTTCATCTTATGTCGCATCATGGGGTTGTACACAGTGATTCCAGCACAAAACAGAGGTGCTGCAGAGGCCAAAGGATAACCATCAGGTATCCGAAAGCAGTACCTGTAGATTCAACACAACCGATGGAGTGAAAGCTGGCTCAATTTTCGAAGCATCAGATTGATAGGTCAACAGTATCATTTTAACTCTAGAAGCCTTGGCATTGATTTTTCTTTTGTTTTTTTAATGTTAGATCCTTGCACTAAGAACACGCATTATATTACTATTTGATGCTGAAGAGATGTCTAGGCTCTGAAATACAGCAAATCATTGGAATTTCATGGTGACAAAGCAACAGCAAAGTCAACTTATTTCTCATGGATAGTTCATCTCTAAATTTCTTGATGTATAACAAAATAAACAGAAAATATAAGAACAAAGGCAGAAATTACAAAAGTATTTACCTTTCATGGACAACGATGTAGCTAGAATATCCACCCTTTGTAATCGAGCCATCAGCATCAATGCCATTAAAAGTGAAAACCGATCCTTTTTCACAACTAACTTCTTCCTTGTCATTGCAATACTCACATTCTCTGCAAGAATTAACATAAGTGCCTACTCCAACATGGTCACCAGCCTTGAAGTTGCTGACACTGGAACCAACTTCCTTTACAATTCCAGCAATCTCATGTCTGTAAGCAAATAACCATAACTACTTAAGTTTAATAAAACTATAAAATTAGTTTTATCATCAAAGTTGGTGATATTATTCAATTAGGCCACATACCCAGGCACCAATGGATAGCGCGAATCTCCATGCTTGTTCTTACTCCAGATAACATCAGCATAGCAAACTCCACAGTGCGTTATTTTTAGCGAAACATCATCTTTTCCAAGAGCCCTGAATAGAATTTCCCAGATTACCTTTAGCCAACGGTTACAAAGGCAAGAAGAATTGTGGAAGCACAGCCAATTCATTCTGGGTTACAGCTAACAACATCAAAGAGCTCGGGTATTTGACTGTTATCTCAAAAAACAATAGTCTTTTGAATTAAGCGGAAAAAAAAAATCACCAGTTCTTCTAGCTTATACTTGACAAAACATCCATAAATAAATCAAAAAACTCTTATTCGAAACTTAAGCTGTAAATTGCAACCGCTGGTATAAACATTGCATATAAAAAACGAAACTCAACCTTCAAGGGAAGACCTAAAGCATACCTGCGACTAAACTTGTAAGGAGATAAGACTCCAGAGGGGTCTCTCGCTGCCCACGCAAGACAGTCATCTTTAACACTCTCAGAGCTCATTGCTAAGTAGTTTTAACTAAATCGCCATAAAAGCCATGGCACATCACTTTCTCAAAGTATGCAATAAAAATAAAATGGTATACATAAATCGTCTAACACAGTAGACATCATAACCTCAGTAGCATATAAAGGCACTCATAAATTGTACAGTAAATTAAAAAAAAAAAAGGATTGAAAAGCTTAGGATGGAACTAGCATATCGATTTGCTTGTAACTAATGCTTATACACAGACAACAACTTATGAATCTGAGATGGGATTGTAAGTTAATTCTTAGCAAAATTTAGATAAAAGGGAAATCAAATTTAGTGCCATAAACAACAAATTCACAGAGAAATTCTAAATATCAAATTGAAAGAGATTTTGTTATTACCCGTAAAAGTCCAAAGATGTAGTAGTGCTGTGAAGTAGTTGAGAAGGAAGAGAAGGGCGAGTTGCAGAGTGATTGTGTTCTGTTTGTTTGTACGAGAAAAGAGACTTGAAGAACGACTTTGGCTGATGAGATAGGGCTCTTCAATTAGCAAATCAAATCCAGGAGATAAGATCTCATCTTGCCATTGCAAAATACTCAAAAAGAAAATGTTAAAGATATTAATTTTAATATCAAAGCATGGACGTCGGCTAATGCGTTGAAAAATTTCAAATTTAAAATAATAATTTAAAATTAAATAAATAAATAAAATTAAATAATATAAAAAATTCCGTGTTATAATTCTTTTATATAACTTCGATGTTCAATTTTTACATATTTCTTGATGCCTTTGAATCCTAATTTTAAATATATTATTCTTTTTTAATTTTAAACATATTTTTTTTTATGTGAATGGATTATCGACTTATAATATATAATTAAAAAGTTTTAAAATTTTAGTTTTTATTTTTATTTTAATTGAAGTAAAATTTTATTTATAGCTTTATATATATTCTAAACAATGCATAAAAATTTTGTTTGAGATATTTAATTATATTAATTTATTAATTTTAATCATGTGAAATATTATGTTTCTTAACTATATTTTACCTAAAAACTTATATTTATCTAATATTTTTTTATAAAATTTTAGTTTTATCTAATATATAATTTGAAAGATATAATCAATCTCATAAAATTAATCAATAAATATTTTAAAGTTAAATTTAAATTTGACTTGATTTATATCACAAATTTAATAAATTTATAAAATTAGATTGAGTTTATTAATTTTATACAAATTAAATTTGATTAATTTTTAATTCAATTTAACATATTAAATATATATTAACTGGTAAAATCATAAAATTTTAAAAATTAATTCGTGGTTTTAATATCAATGGTTTACACAAATAAATTTATCGACATGATCAATATATAATATATTTGATTTACGTAATAATGTCTCAAGGGTCATCTGTGATTAAGCAGATCGGAGCAATTGGTGGTGCTTGTGCCCAGTTCAGTTAATACACGACCTTCATCCGGCCATACAGAATCGATAAACGTCTGGGGCGAATCCATTGTTGATGGTCCTGTATCCAAATTCAGAACACAAACCTTTTCGAGCGTGCATGAAGAGAAGAGATTAGAGAAAATGAGCAGACGGCAAGTTCCTCATAACTCAGTGATGGTCACCTCAGCGCTCTTAACATTTTTTTCAAGATTGATGAAAAAAAAAATATCAAACCCGCGTGCAAAAGAATGAACTGATTTCTTCATTCTGACTTTATAGTAGCAGAACAATCAGGCATAAAGCATTATCTTATAGCGTGAGACAAGCATGCTATGCCATCACAGGTGGTAATATTGAAAGATGTCCTCAAGCAAACAAGCTTTCAAAACTTACACATACCGCACACAAAGGCACAACTAGAAGTATGTTTCCTAAAACTTTCAACTTTATTATACATGTTCAAGAAAATCAAGAAACAAGGTGATGTCAAAAATCTTCCAACAAGGGGGAGAGGATCATGGTGCGGTATATTGGGAAAGGTCTAATACATTGAACAAACACGAGTTACAGGGTTTAAGAAGCATCAATCCTGATGGAGCATAAAATCACAGAAAGAGATGGTGCGTTGTGAGTTCCAATGAGCACTCCTTAATTTAGCAGTGTTCCCTGCCAAGTATTATTTGCGTTGCTTTTTCCTCTTTGTTGAAAGCTTCTTGGTCTGCAGATTCAGTTCTGGTGCGCTGTTTGATTGCTCAGTTCGTGGTTCTTCAGGTAAAGTGCAATGCGACATGCATGTAGGCAATCAAGAATAAGAGCATGTTCTATCAGGAGTGAGTCTTGACTCTAGAAAGAGGTCACAGGATGAAGTCCAAAGCTTCTTTGCAAGTCTGATATTGAGTGAAAGTGCTGGAGAGTTTAGAGTCCTGCCCTTTCCACCGGAAAAGTGTACTCCAGATATTTCCCGAGATGAACAAAATGACCAGTTAGAATTGAAAAAAAAATTATATAAAAAAAAAATCAGATTCACTCGAATTTGCTGGATAAAATTACATCTCCCTCTATAACAGTGAACAATGAGAAAGGGCGATGGAAACAGAATTCCCTGTTTGAAATACACTTCAAGATGTTGGTTTTATAGCAAATGTGCAAGAGGCATCATTACCATTCACCAAGGGCAGTGACTGCAAAAGCCCATACGGGAAACGCAAGAAGGAAGTTCCCGCATGTATTCTTGATATTATACTTACATATTCTAATCCACCCTAGCAATTTTTAGGATATAGAAGACTTTTACCCCCACTTATATATATATATATATATCTCCAAAACACAACCAAGGGATTGCAACTTGAGATCCAGAAGTTTGTCTCGGTTCACTTTTAAAAATTCAAATAGATTAAAGTAAATTTAAGTTTAAGCTCGACTCCCAACTAATTGATTTTTTTTATCAATTTTTTTTTAATTAAAATGATTTTTCAATCTATAACCCTAATTTTGTCTTGAATTGATTCTCAATTCGGGTTTTGTAAGAACACCTTAAGGTTAAAATCACATTAACTTCTTTTGTAATTTACTTTAAAAAAGAAAGAAGAAAAATATGTTGGAAAAACTAGAGAAAATGAAAGAAAACGAGAAGCATCACTGGAGATACTGTCCAAAGTAAAGGAAGGCAGGCAGGCAGGCAAGCAAATCCTCCACTTGCCACACTGTCAGTCCAGTGGCACAATACCCACCTGTTCCCCCTCCTCTTTCTCTTTTTGCTTTTGCTTTTAGCATTGTTTCTCTTCAGTCACTTCTTCCCGTGGCATCGAAGAAAGGAAGAAAAGAAAGTGACCCCTCCCCTGCCCACTTCACTTCAATCTCATTAGCCCAAAAATTCCAGCTTTTTCTTATTTTCTTTCACTTCTTAAATAAAAGCAAGCACATTCTCTAGACAACTCATTCACTGTGAGCATACAACAGAAGAAACTTGGGTTTCTTCCTTTTTTGCTCTCAGTTTTGGTTTTCTATTTCATCAGAATCTCAGTGTACGTTGTTTCTTTAAGGAAAGTGTGTTTCTTGAATTGTTTATAGTGTTTCCTTGCTTTATTCAAGAATTGGGTTTGCTTGCTTGCTTTTAGTTTTGATTATTTCTTGCCAGTATCAGTGCTTTTTACTTGTGGATTTTAGTGTTTTGTGCTCTGAATTTCTTTTGTTATTTGATTTCTGTGTGCTTTATAGTCTTTATTATCAATGATTGGATCTATTACTTGGATCATTTTGTGCTTAAGTTTATAATATCAATTGTTGATTATTGGAAACAGGAACATTCGATGTATGCTTTGTGTGTTTCATGTTCAAGACTTATGCTTTGGGCGGTAGGAACTGTACTAGGACTCTTAACTGCAAATGTCAGTTAGCGTAGTGCTTATTTGCCGGGTTTTTGGACATGGACTTCTTGTTTTCTGCTAGGAAATATGTTTACCTGGGCTGTGGATTTGGGATTTGTTGATTTGCATTTGTGGTTTGCGCTGCATGCTATAAAAATGAGTGATTGATATGACTGGCATGTTCCATTTTGTGCTCATTTAGCTGATAGGCGATTTCGTTAAACTTTAATATGGTGTAGGAATCGTTGGCCTTTCTCTTAGGATTGCAATGAACAGGGAATCAAATTGTCGCGTGCTGCTTTCAGTTGAAGTATTTGACATTATTTTCAAAGCTTGTTTCTTGATAATGTGGACAAGTGTGCTCTTATTGTTGAAGTACAATAATCAATTAAGATATTTTTACGTTCAAGACATGTAATTTGCTATAGAAATTGCACTAAAACTTTATTAGGGGTCTTGAATTTGGACTTATTGTTTTTGTATATGGATTATAAGACAAATGTTTACCTTGATTCTGGATATGAGATTTTCTGAACGGAAGCATTTGCACACTTGATTTTTGTTGTGTGCAAGAAAAATGGGTGATTGGTATAACTGGTGTGATCGTTGGGGGGTGTATGGTAGGGGATTTATGGTGGTTAAATTTTACCCTGGTCATCTTAAGTATGATAGGATCAATTTTTGAGTGGGCTTAATTATTAAGGAGGGCAACTAGTATACCTTGAGTTGGTGTTTTGGAGGGTAAATTTTAACCATTAAGTAAGTAATTTTTTTCTCTCTCTCTCCTCCTTTTTCCCTAAACATACACACCAAATATTTTTTTTATTTTTCCACTAACTTTTAACCCTTCAATTTATTAGAACACCAAACATTCTTACAAACCAATTGTGCCAGCCTTAAAAATTGCTATTGTAATAATTACTCCAGTAATAATTCATCCTTCTTTTTCATAACCTATCACCAAACACCACCTATTATGCCCATAAGCTAACATTGGATTGTGTTAACATTAGAGGTGGTGTAGGGAGCACTAGCCTTTGGTTTGGTATTGCCACAAATAAAGAATTAAATTGTTGTATTGCTGGTTTACACTTTGTCTTTCTTAAGTTTACTTTCAATGAAAGTACATAACACTTCGTTCAAGTTTGTTTCTCCAAGACGTAAACAGTTCTTTTCTCATTGTTGAAGTACAATTATCTTGTCTTTCCAAAGACCAATCTTTTCTGTTGCATGGTGAATTTATGACTATTTTTCCAAATACTATTGTACCTTGCTATGGTTCTCTGCCTTGACTAGATGGTGCTGCTCGACTTGCAGGATCAGTATAAACCATGGCTGATGATGAGGAAATCCAACCTCTTGTATGCGATAATGGCACTGGAATGGTTAAGGTGAGTGTGGTTGTCTTTTAACAATTTGTGTTCCTTTTGGGCCACAATGTTGTGAGAGCCTTTTTTAGTTCACTTGAACATGCATATAACTTTGAAGTGTTTGCTTCTTCAATAGGCAGGTTTTGCTGGAGATGATGCTCCAAGGGCAGTCTTCCCAAGTATTGTTGGTCGGCCTAGGCATACAGGTGTTATGGTCGGAATGGGGCAGAAAGATGCCTATGTTGGGGATGAGGCCCAGTCAAAAAGAGGTATTCTCACGTTAAAGTACCCTATCGAGCATGGGATTGTTAGCAACTGGGATGATATGGAAAAGATTTGGCATCACACTTTCTACAATGAGCTTCGTGTGGCTCCTGAAGAGCATCCTGTGCTACTTACTGAAGCTCCCCTGAACCCTAAGGCCAACAGGGAAAAAATGACACAGATTATGTTTGAAACATTTAATGTCCCTGCCATGTATGTTGCTATCCAGGCAGTGCTCTCCTTATATGCTAGTGGACGTACTACAGGTGTGAAGGAGATACATGTATCTTTGAAACCCTTCTCTGTTTTCAATCACAAAGAAAAGTTTGATGCTCTTCAAATTTGTCTGTAACTTTCTTTTTGTGGTGTACTTTTCAGGTATTGTGTTGGATTCTGGTGATGGAGTTAGTCACACAGTCCCCATCTATGAAGGTTATGCACTTCCTCATGCAATCCTTAGGCTTGATCTTGCTGGAAGGGATTTAACAGATGCCTTGATGAAGATCCTTACAGAGAGAGGGTACTCATTCACCACAACTGCTGAACGGGAAATTGTAAGAGACATTAAGGAGAAGCTTGCATATGTGGCTCTTGATTATGAGCAGGAGCTTGAAACTGCTAAAAGTAGCTCTTCAATTGAGAAGAGCTATGAGCTACCTGACGGCCAGGTTATCACCATCGGTGCAGAGCGTTTCCGTTGTCCTGAGGTCCTATTTCAACCATCACTCATTGGAATGGAAGCACCTGGAATTCATGAAACCACTTATAATTCGATCATGAAGTGTGATGTTGATATCAGGAAAGACTTGTATGGTAACATAGTGCTCAGTGGTGGATCTACCATGTTTCCAGGAATAGCTGATAGAATGAGTAAGGAGATCACAGCTCTTGCTCCAAGTAGCATGAAAATCAAGGTGGTTGCACCTCCTGAGAGAAAATACAGTGTCTGGATTGGAGGGTCTATACTGGCTTCTCTCAGCACTTTCCAACAGGTATCCATCGTACATCTCCCGTGAGGATTCTCTTATATGTTTAATTTCTTCTTTGTATTTCTGTATTTGAAAATGTTAGCTTCCATTAATTGAGAAACCCATAACACTCACAAGACAATTGGCAATGGTAATTGGTACAAAAACAAAACAGAAAAACTAGAAATCCAAGTCATAACATTTACTGGATTAATTATTTTACGCTGTTCTGAAGTTTCCACATACTTTCTGTCTATATTTATTTGGCGTTCAGCATTTTAATTCAGGAAATGGATTTTAGAATTTAATTTTTTATTTGTTTCGGTTCTGTCATATGCAGATGTGGATATCAAAGGGAGAGTATGATGAATCAGGACCCTCCATTGTTCATAGGAAGTGCTTCTAGATATGCAATTGCCATTTTGCCCCCCTTTTTCCCATTCCTTATTTATCATTATGGTTTTGGATTGTGAGACCGTGTAGTATCGGCGTGTTTGGTTCGGTTTTGCTCCTCTGTGGTTTTGTTCTCTTTCTCACCTACATGGTCACAATATGAAACATGTACTTGTTGGTACATGTAAATCATGTGTAGATTGCCTTTTTATCTTCTCCAAGTCATTGCCCCATAAATAGCATTAATGTGTTTGATCACTACAATCATTCAGTCTCTTCCTTTGTTTTCTCTTTCTTTTCCTGCTCTTTGTATACTAGACTGGACGAAATGAAATGAAATGCACGGATTTTCCCTCGTTCCTGAGATTTTAATAGCATGGTCATGGCTCATGCACTGTGAATCAGCGATTTGAGTTAATAAGCGCTCTTTTATTACAGAATAAAATTTTCATTTAATGAATAATGAAATCCCAGAAGCCTTCCACCCTCAGATAGCTTGCATGCACCTTCTTTGAAGATTGCAGAAATGGGAAAGAAATCAAATGCTAGTCATCATCGGTGTACAGCACTTTGTTAAAAATAGCTTCCCCTTTTTTCAGATTCTCCAAGGTGAGAATCTTTTATTCTTATAACGATTTGTAGTATTTAAACAAACACACAAAAATCAGGCCCTCAGGTTGGTTTTCGACCAGAGAAGTGAGGTGGTATATCTGTGTCCACAAAGGGAGAGGGGAAAATGGAGAAGATGGCGGTTTGTGTGAATACGGCAAGGCCTGATCTTGCAGGGGCCTGTGTGTTTTCTTGCTCGTTAACCAGACGAGGGAGGTAAGGTGGGCTGCCTGACCACCCAGTTAACGAGCCAGCACCACGCTTTAAAGTAAAAAATCAACACCCAACCGTTCCCTATCCCCTTATCTCTTTCCTTTCCCGCCATTAAATGTATGAGCTTCACGTTTTACCGATGGGACTGAAGACAAAAAAATCAACAAAGAAACAAGAGTGAGCCCTCTTCAGCTTCCACTGTCTCCCCTCCTTACCGAGCTAGTGCTCGTTTTACTTCTTAAACAAAAACGAGCACATTCTATCGAGGTATTTTTTTCTTTTTCTTTTTCTTTTTTTTTTAAAAAAGATTTGTTATGAGTTGTCTAGCTATCATGCTTCTTAGCTATATTCAAGAACTGATCAGATACTTTACTTTTGATATATTCTGCTTCTTTTTCTGTTGTTAGTTGAATTATAGTTCTCCACTGCACCGTGGGCCGTATTATTTTTTTAATAAAATATTTAAGTGTTGATTGATCAATTAGATAAATTAATTTTATTTAAATCAAATAATAAAATAAAAGGAAACGATAATAAATGAACACAAATATTTTAAAAAATAAAATGATTAAGGTAAACAAAGAAAAGACCTTTATTTAATAGTAGAAAAACAATATTATTTAATTTTTAATTAATTAAATATAGAAAGATGGAATATGATTAAAAAAAATGATAAAAAAATCAGTATGATCAATCAACAAAATTAACAAACTAATATAATAAACATGAAATTTAAATATTAAAAAATTAAAAAATAAATCAATCTGAATTAACTTGTTAAATATGTAATTTAAATCATAAAGTTATGCATATTAATTCTTATTGATGTTGTCTTTTTGAATATGTGATTATGAACAAGAACAAAAAAAGTTAAGTAATGTGGATCATAGGTTGTTTTAACTCGTAGGGCATTCTTTATAATCTTAAATAAAACTGAAAAAAACAATAAAAATATTTTAAACAAATAAAGAAAAAAATTCTTAAACCAACTCGAAAAACATGTCAAATTAATTCTATAAAATAATTAATTTCTTTCAAATCTCTTAAAAAAAATTCAGCCTCGTTCAATAATTGAATTAAAACTTATATCTATTAACATAAAGCAATATGTTAGAAATAAATTTCCTGCATTTAATTTATAGAACTATATAAGAAAAGATAGTAGAATAAATGATATTGTTTAAATTGGAGAGGATAATATCAACCATGGCAGCTCTGAGGAAATTCTGCCTACTGTTTGTGATAATAGCAGTGGAATGATTGAGGTGAGGAGCCTTATTCTTTTAATAGTTTGTGTTGACTCTGCGCTGCGTTGAAACGGAAGCCCTTTCCGGTGCTGGTAAATGACCCACGATTTTTGTGCAGACAGTGAACTTATTGAGATACGTCCGGATCCGGCACATTCTCCTCGGTGGATTCTAGAATTCCCAGAGAAATGCAGCTGAAGTAGGGCGAGGAGTTGCCATCAGTTTTGCGGCCAAGCGATGCCTGAGGAAAGAACTACACATTTGCATTGATGCCTTTGAAATAAATCATGATCAAGGAAAGAAGTGGCACATATTCGATACCCATTTGCAATAAAAGGATAATTCTTTTTTTGTAGTGAGTTGAACGCAAGCTTCTCTTCGGTTCAGCAACAGAGAACAAAAGGGCGAGAGTCTTATCATTAGCCAAAACACATTCAATACCTAGGAGCACAACTGGCGTTGCTTGCTTGAAACCAAAAGGGACAACGTCGTTGAAGGATTTAAAAATATTCAAGTTTTATTAAATATAAGTATCTCAACGTTTCTGTATTCGCAGAGAGGCTTGAAGCCAAGACCTCTTGGGGGGGGAGGTCCATGTGGTTGAAGGGCTTAAAAATATGAAAGTTTTATTAAAAGAAAAAACTTGCAAAAACTAGCTACACTGGTGTGTTTTCATTAGCACTGAGATTGGCTGGAGCTCTTTCAGGTTCTGCTGATTGAGAAGAGTTGCTGTCGAGGCCATTTCTTGCGCAGCAATTGGCAGGTTCTGGTGAGGAAAGGGAGGAAGCAAGACAACTGCAGCGGCAAGTAGGACAGGAAGAATGACTAGCCAACCACTTTTCTACACAGTGGACATGGAATCCATGGTTACATCTCCCCAACACCCGAATCCCCTCGCCTTCAACGAATTCTGACAAGCAAATTGCGCAATCAGCCTCCGCCCCAGCAAGCTTCGTTCCAGCATAATACACCTGTGTTGTAGCCAGTACTAGTGATGCCATGTCTGACTCCTTGTTAGGTTTCCTCTGCTCCTCGAGTTCGCGAAGGTGGTCCGATGAGCTATCATTGTCGCTTCGCAAGAACCAACGAATGGCTGTATTAAAAGCCAGTGCACAAACGAGTGCACAGAGGAGAATCATGAGGATCGTAGCTGTGTTGGCTCCAGCATCATTTGAGTTTGAGTAAGGCCACCATTTGCAGCTGTGAACTTGAGGGTCACATGATGGAGGTCTAGAAGGAAGTGGTGGTGGTGGGGATAGATGGCCGATGTCTGCTGCTACTGTTTCTATTGGTGCTGGTCTCATTTTGGGGCTCGAAAATGTTTTGCAATGTGCGATTCTTGGTTCTTGCCGGTTATGCTCGTGTCCTGAGATAGGTTTATCAGCTCCACAGAGTGAGAAAGAGAAAGATTCGTGGAAGTTCAGACTGAAGTGAATTTATAGGCATCAAGGGATTCCACAACTTTTTCTGACGATCGGATATTCCCCAGCCAGTTTTCATATATTAAAATAATGAAACAATTAATCTTTATTTAATTAAGTATTTGGTAGCTTTTAATGATATTTGTTTCTTCTGCCTTGGGACATTTTCATAAAGCAAAAAATCTTATTGCTTAATTAATGGTGATGTCAAACTCTACAAGCTCCCGTAGGCAATTTACAAATGTGATTGCTACTAGGATAGAGCCTAACTATGATCTCACAACATAGGGTTTCATAAACATGTCCGAACAAATAACATTTACTAGGGTTGATGTAAGCTACACATGGTTACCTCTTAAATGAATCAAGAAAACAACAGGTTGCCAGGGTTGAACTAATTAGGGTAATATATGGCATTAATAATATATAGCGCTAATAATACAATATGAGGTTATATATCATAGATATAAAATCAGGTTTGGAGATTAGTCTATTCTAAAACTCGAATTATGTGTTAATAAATTAATACTCATTTATTTTTTTAAATAAAAAAAATAAAAAACTTGAAACACTATCATTTAAAAAAAAAAAACTAGTTTTTTCAGCAACCTTGATCAAGCTCTCAATTAACTAGTTATTGAGCTGACTCACCAGGTTGAACCAAGCCTTACAACTAGGTTATAGCTGCACATAACCTTTCCCTGCAGAAAGCAAACCAAACCCAACAATCTTATAACAATTATTTAGGCCCTATATCCATCAATCTTTGCCAGGTATTCCAAGAATTTAATTTGGATCAGCCTTCAAATTATGTGGTATAGAGGCACTGAAATTGACGAGAGTTTAAATTAGGCTACCAGGACTACAAGCCAATTCAAGGCATGAAGGTGAGGCGACACAAATACATGTACAATTGTACTGTTGTACACCCATCAAGGAATTTATTAGGTAAAGGAAATAGCTATGGAATTGCCTTGCTCCAAAGGCAACTGCACAGTACCGGGTGGGATGGAGTTCATCTAATTATTATTCAACTCAATTGTGTACTGAAGACAAATTTTCTGAAGGGTATGGCCTTGAGCCTTTCGTATTGAAGAACCATGCCGTGCCCATGTTGGCAAGTCATCTGTTTGTTGGCAGCCATAGTAAGTGCAATAATTTAGTGTGTCATCTCTTAGGCTACTAACCCATGACGAGTTTGGTGGTTCAATTAATTCTTTGAAAGTCGGACGTTTGAGTAGTAATTAGATTTTCTCTCTATTAGATTCAAATCTAAGAGCAAGTTTCAAGAACAAGTCGTCAGGAGTTCGAAGTTCTGTATATTACCCCATGATTGACCGTATGAGCTGCTGGTTTTAGCGTGGCTCAGCCTCGAGGATCCCTTTTATTTCAATTTCTAAAAACAGATGTTGTTGATGATTGAACTTTGAAGAGCTTTCTGGTCTGCCCCGTAAATGTTTTAGCCAATGGGGTCTTTTTCGTGCCAGATGGAAAACGGCCAATGTTAATTATGTTTGCCTTCTGATTTACGGCAAGAAGAATTAATGTGCTGTGATGGCTACCTGCTAACCACCACACGCTTAAATACATTGAGAAAAGGAACCTCAGCGGCAAGCAAATCCGGCAAAGCCCGTAGGATTTTGCCATTAATGGCTGGCAGGAACGGGCTCCTCTTCCTATTATTAGAATAGACCCAGCCATCAAGGCTTCTGGGTGCATGTACCTCCTCCTATTGTTTGATTGGAATTGGACGTGGTCAAGGATTTGTGCTGACGAGTCTGACATGGTTGCAAGAT